TATGAAGCATAGTTTTGCTCTCACGGCGTGCGTGAACCTCTACTCATCACATTCTTTAGCTACGAGCAGCGTAACAACGGCGTTGCCGGAATCTGAAGATGAGCATCCCATTGACCTTCCTACTGAGCCGCCAACAGTAGAGGAAACACCAGTCGTGAAAGCAGTAGAGGACAAATCGGTGTGCCAAATCAAGCCCTCCGAAGGTTAGGATTGAAGACAAACCCTATATTTTTTACGTATCATTTGCGAAGGACTCAAGAGTTTTCGCAGTAGAGGTCAGAACTCATGATCAATTTGTAGGACGTGCCTGCCGTGAAGACGAAGTGCCACCTCGAACAAATCTGCACTATTTCTACTCGCCCAAAGATCGCCGTTGTAAACTGTACTTCTTCCGCGGTTGTGGTGGAAACGCGAATCGCTTCGAGAAAAAAGCAGACTGTGAACGGCTCTGTTTACCGTGAGGTTGGTCGCTTCTTCAACGAAACGTTAATTGCATGTTTTTGGAAGGAAAATGGCAGAGTAAATTTTTTGACCTCTCCAGGACAAATTTAGTAGATGCTTGGGGCTGGGCTTCGTGCGCTTGAGGGCTTTATAGCTGGGAACTAAATGCAACAAGGTTGCGTTGCGAAAGTACTAGCCGAGTGACAGTATTGCAGCTTGACATTTTTTTCGTTTGGGTTGAGGAAAAAGTTTTGAGAGAGTAAATTCAAGTGGGTTGTTGTTCGTTTCCGAGAAGCAGTGCTGCCCCTCTTTTGCTACCCTGGAGGATGGGCGTTGTGCCGTGCGAAATAAAATTAAAAAACAATAAATAGTCGGTAAATTCAAGTGAATTGTTGGGCAAGGAAGTTGATGCTCTCATGGGCTCCGATTCATTGCGAGTAGCTGAGGATTGTTGATCTGAACGAGTAACCCGGGCAAGAATTGGGTGGAGCGGTAGCAGTCATGTCCCGCGATGCACTGGCAGTGTGACTATAGAGACTCGTTCCCATTTGCTATCACTCACCGATCCCACTGCTCTGATCGCAAAAAAATTACACCGAAAATTAGGCAGGAGCAGGCGATAGCACAAAATTGAGTGGTTCGAAAGTTTCAGATATGTCGCGAGTTTTCGGCGCGGTAATGGTGGCCATGGCAAGAATTTTGAGCGCAAAAACCAGCAAAATTTATTTGCCAAAGTCTAAGGAAAGAGACTAGTAAGGGGTAAATTACGCTATAAAGTGATGCTTGAGAGCTCTCGAATGCGTTGAACCAATGCCAGAGAATCCCTCAGAAAACAAGCATTAATGCTATCCTTTCTAGGCGTCAGGCTCATTAAAATTGCTCTTTGCCACGCGGTGAACGAATAAATCGCTAACTACGAATCGATAACGCTTTAACACCGGTAACAAAGAGTGGAACAAAAATTAGTAACTAGTCTGAAAACGGCCCAATTAGATTAATTGAACCCAATCAAACTGAATGCAGAGAATAATGTAAAGCTGAAGAAAACGTGCTAATTTAAGGGATTTCCCCTTCATATCGGTCTCATGAGTCGTGAATTTTTCCTATTCTCATGTGAAAGCGCTATGTTTATGCGCAAGCCGATTCTTTCGCTCGCCTGGGAAATCGCTATGTTATGAATTTGCGTCTTGATTCTTCGCATTTTTTGCCCGCTAACAGCGACACTCATGGCAACTTTAATGTAAACATGTTTGCAGGAGCTTATCCTACTGCTTCCCAATGTTCGACACGTGTAGATTTGTGCTTTCTCAGAATATCACTGTTACATTCCGTTGTTTGGTGCGATCACTTTTCTTTTGAGTGTTCTCTTATTTCTACTGTATTTCTGTGAGTCAGCGTTAAGGCGTAAGGCTGCTGGTTTGCTGCTATTTGTGCTATGCTAATGCTGTTCATCTCGCCTACTTTACTTTCGCCTTGATATCGTCCGTGTAGCGTCAGGTTTTGCCTGTGTGCAATTCGTATAACTTCGTATAATGTATCACTTTGTTAATAGCTCGATTGCTACCTGTTGCATTTCTTGATTCATTCTACACCAATTTGCTGAAAACGGACTTACCGAATGTTTGGTCACGACGATGCGTTGCTGCGAACTTAACCAATCATCTTTAGATGAGGGCCGTATAAACGCAGTTGAAAGGGAGATCTGTGACACGGGACCAGTGGGCGGGACCGGAAGTGGTTTTGCGACGAAATGCATGGTAGGTACGGATCCACGTTCATGGGAAGGTTTGAAGTGAATCCTGTTCACGTTCGTGCGTTCGACACGTGGATCCGTACCTACCATGCATTTCGTCACAAAAACTTCCGGTCCCGCCCACTGGTCCATGGTCCGTGGAAGATTCCTTTAAAGGAATGTACAGCCGCAAACTCAGTCGCTAGGTACGTCAGTTGAGCAGGGGCAATTCAGCCACATTTCGTTCTAATAGATGAAGACAAGCCATAGGGCAGCAACAAAACAAACAGCACAGTGCAGAGTAGTGGGTCCGTTTTTCCACAATGAGATCTGCTTTTGCTTATTGCTCCTGCTCTGATGCTGGGATGTACCAGGTTTCCCCTCCTCTCTTGCGGGTTCCGGCTGGGCTTTTGCTGGCTTCTTTGGGTTCATGCAGTTGCTTCAATAGAGTTATGGGTCTAAGGACTGCTTGCGCGAGGTGTTCCTGAGAGTCGTTTTCTAAAGAACTTTGATCGTATCGCGGTAAAAAATGAACTGAGACATCGTAGCCTGATTTCAACTGGTCGCTGATGACGTTCGCCGTTCAAGTCTGTCCGCGTAGTGAGCGATGGTTTATTATTTTTCCCGTAATAAATTCTGCGTTGGAAGATCACCGATCTCCGTGTGCTTTCCGAATTCATTGTGCGCGATTAGCACGGGTGGTATTTTACGTGCATCGCGGATTCGATTTGGACCACAGGTAGTTTGAAATGATTGTGAGGGAGAGACTATGTCGCTCGTTCAGGTTGCACGATATTTAGGCATTTTATTGAACTTGGACATTTGTTCGAATTTGGGTTTCGAGTTACTGCAACTAAATTATCGATTGGGTGCCTATAGGATTAGATTCGCAGAAAGCGCTTGTGACGCGCCTACAAACCTTATACTCTAATGGAAAATAGTAGAACTTGGCTATTGACTGAATCTTCTCTAAGGACGCTAACAGAAGAAGCGATTACGTTAAGGCAAAGTGTAGCATGGTGACGAAAGCTTTGGACAATTTATAGACAAAATTGTTAGTCTGGAAGAACCAATTACATTAGAGCAGCATAAGCAAACCCAGGAATATATTGAAGAGGCGCAGTCCAAAATGGTTGAAGCGGAGACCCTTTTAATCGATATGGAAGCGAAACGAGTAACTCTTCAAGAGCAGCTGCATAGAAGGCGAAAAGGTATCGAACTGCCAGTCGGACTAGCGAGACAGTGAGCGAAAATACGAGAATCCCAATCCCTACATGATGGTTAACAATAAGTGAATATGATATTTCTGGCTCCTATTGATTCTAAATGTCCACAGTCAAGACGTACAGGTCTCAGAAATTAAATGTTCTTGTCTGAAGACGCTCAAGGGAAACGCATGGAGCAATAACGCCTACCAATACCAGAGAGAATGTTTACGCTGACTCGAACTGTTACGTCGGCTCAAAATTTGGGGACAAAAGCAAATCGATACGTAATCTACAATCACGGTTAGATACCGCTCAAGCGTGTAGCAGCCACATTGTAAGGCAGCGCAAATTGCGTGAGTAATGAGTTTTCCCTTGATTATTCAATTAAAGCGGAATGGGTATTACAGTTAAAGGTTCGTATTTGGCGAAAAGTGCTGGCAAACATTTTAACTGAACTTAAAGGGAGATTTCTGAACAGAAGTGTGCAAGGAAACAACGAAGACCAGTGGTCACTTAGAAACCTTCTTCATGAGCTGGCGCTCATAAAAACTGAAGAGCAAGTTGCTGAAATGTTACATGATACCGGTAGGTACGGAGGAGAAGCACGCAGCAGTGCTACCCCTGCAACTAATAGGATAGATTTGAGCCCAAAATGGGAAATGAAACGGAACCGATGTCTTTATTGCAGTGATACTGGACATAATTCATTACGTTGCCCTAAAATCATTACTTTGAATGATCGAAGAGAATTTTTGAAAGAACATAAGTTGTGCATGAATTGCGGAAGGACCCAATCATTTTGTACGCGAATGCCAACGAATCGGCTGCACAAAATGCGAAGGCAACAAACAACCATTTTTCGCTCTGTCCTAAAAGAATTCAAGCGGAGGTGCCACAAATGAGCCTGGACACCCTTCGAAAAAACCGTAGGCGTGGAGAAGAAAAAACAAGAAGACCACAAAAACGAGCGCACCAGTGTGCCGAAAGTGAGACACTTGAGGAAGAAGTGCTCACTACGACAAACATTAGCCCGGGTATTAAACCTTGGAAAGAAGCGAAACTCTATGAAATCTCCGAGTCTTCTATACGATGCAGGAATGGCACGCGTTAGAAACGAGATAACTGGAGAGATGCGCGATGTACAGATTCTTTTCCGATAATGGCGCAGACAGATCCTCTATACAGAAAGAGCTTGCCAATCAACTTGATCTATCTAATGTGGATAAAATTAACTTGTCCTTATACACCTTTGGAGAAAAAAAAAACACCAAAGCCCAAGCATGTATGACGTTACTTCACTGCAGATACTGGTTGAACAGGGAATCCCCTAGATCTACTTCTATGTAGATAAACGTCATCTCGGGTAGTGGCAAACAGGTAACCTTGTGTAAGGATGACTTAGGTTATCTTGAACGTGGACGGATTCAGCTCTACCAAAAAGATAGCACAAATTCTTCCCTGAAGCCCGAAAATCTTCTAGGATGCGACCAGTTATGGGGCTAATAGATTTCTCCGAAAATCCTCATACGCTTCCTTCAGGATTACAGGTATCCATCTAACAACAGGGGTACCTTATAACAGGGAGAGAAGAAAAGCATGGGGCGATTCCGGGAAATCATGCAGTCACTTCATGTGTAAGCAACAAACAAAAGAGAAGCGACGAAGATTTCTCATTCAACACCGATTCCGAGCTGGACCAGTGGGATCAGTTTTGGAGTATTGACTCGGCAGGAATCGGGGAGTACACGGGTCCTAGTAGAATAGAAAAGGCTTCAATAGCTGAAGAGGTGCGAAAATTCTTTGACTGCACCATTGAGAAGCGCAATGATGGTTATTACGTTAGGCTACCCAAGGAGAATGCTAGCACGTTACCGAATAATTATGCGTTAGCGCATCGTCCATTATATAGAACACTTAAAATCTTGCAGGGAAATTGTGCACTACTTCGTGAATATGATTTAATATTCAAAGAGAAAACATACGAATCCCTTCGAGTAGTGTCGACTCCAATTTTCCCACTGTACACGGCTCTCCCTGCAATCCTCACTGTTTTTGCAGAATTAGTGTCGTTCCTAGAAAC